TTTGTGCGTTTATTAGTGACTAGGCTAAGTCCGTCTAATTATGAACCCAAAAACAAGGTTATCAACTTGTCAGCACCACTTGACGTGGCCATAACAAGAGTGGTTCCCTTTTATTTATGGCACCAATAACAGTGAATTATGTGCTAACCATTTGAAAAAAGTGGCATATCATGTAATTCAGCCTTATTAGCCATATAAATGTATCCGCATAGTTACAGGCCAAAACGGGACGATGCCATGATTCTTTAATACCACTGGGTCATAATTCATAGCACAAGCAACGACAAGACACGACCTTCCAGTCTCACCGCTAAACCAAAAAAACCTTATGCACTACCAATTTCTGCTCTGGCCCATGGACTTAAATTTGAGAATCTGGTTTATTCATAGGCGGCTACCCTGATTCAGACCTATGGGGTCTCGCTCTGTGGTACTAACTCATTGCTCTGACCTCTGAGCCACCCAACTAGCTTCATGTATTTTTATTTTTCATATATATGCAGTGTTCGTATTCTTTGGGTCTTTCGGTAAAGTCACAACACAAATAAGCTTATATCACAGGGTGAACATTGCAAACAGCTCATTTGGGCGATTCACAAATCATCCCATTGCCATTATACAAACATCACGAATGTAAAGCACGACAATTTAAGGTTGATGGGTTTAATAGGCTCTTTTACATTGTTATTCCACGGTTAAATGCACTCCCAAGTTAAACGTTATATTCAGTTCCGGCCACCGATAATTGCACACGCTCGGTGTGAGAAGGCGTTGTGCCGTCGCTGTGTAGCGGAACAGCTGCACATTTCAGCACAGTCAGCTGCCGTGAAGCATGAACCCACAGCTAATATTTGATTCAGTCTTTGGAGACCGTCTCCAAGGTTGCTTGTTTGAAGTGTGGATTGAGTTAATAAGTGACAAGTGAGGTTTTTTTGTTGTTGTTCGGGTCCTTATCTGCCATCAGGCAGGGGGAAGTGAACAAAACAATTGCATTGTTTCGATTTAAAGCTTTCGTGACTGCAAGGATTAATCTTCTTTGGTTCTTTCGGTAAAGTCACGTAGAATGAGAATGAAATAATAAATTAATAAAATAACTAAAACTCTCACGACGTTTCGGCCCCAACAGAAGGCCGCTTGTGTTGTGGCCGAAACGTCGTGAGAATTTTATTATGTTATTTTATTAATTTATTATTTTATTCTCACTCTACGTGACTTTACCGAAAGAACCAAAGAAGAAAAAAAACAATTGCAGTGTGGTTTTTCTGCAAATAAGCCAGCAGGTAATTTGTTTTGCGCAAATATCAAGAGGGCAAGAGTGAATAGGTACTACTCTACTGTATGACGATGTACATGTACCACCCTTTTGTAAATCGCCTGCTGTATGACAGCCACCCCATTGTGTGGGTTGTGGGGTTTATTTGATTACCCATCGTCATTAGCGGGTTTGTGAAGGTGGGGTGCATAGACTTGGGAGGTCAGAAGTACAGTAGTGCAATACAATAATGGATTTTTCAACAATGTGGTTGACTGCTAATCGTATGGTTGTAGTTGTAAAAGATTGCCTGATATTTATTTGTAGGCATAGGCCGTTGCATGCATGGGTCATGGCCAAAACTTACGTTTTTGCAAAAATATCCCCGATTACTATATTTACTCCAGTGCGTAGGCATGGTGCTTTCATTTAGCTGATGAGCCGCGTGTAGCTTCCATTAATAACATGACAGCCACCCCATTGTGTGGGTTGTGGGGTTTATTTGATTACCCATCGTCATTAGCGGGTTTGTGAAGGTGGGGTGCATAGACTTGGGAGGTCAGAAGTACAGTAGTGCAATACAATAATGGATTTTTCAACAATGTGGTTGACTGCTAATCGTATGGTTGTAGTTGTAAAAGATTGCCTGATATTTATTTGTAGGCATAGGCCGTTGCATGCATGGGTCATGGCCAAAACTTACGTTTTTGCAAAAATATCCCCGATTACTATATTTACTCCAGTGCGTAGGCATGGTGCTTTTATTTAGCTGATGAGCCGCGTGTAGCTTCCATTAATAACAATCAGCTCTGTGTTGAGATGTTCATTGACATGGTGCTACATTTTACTCTCCTGGTATTGTTTTATTAGTTTTGGAATATTCTCACAATAGTAATTTAATGATTTTAAGTGCATGTGCGTGAACTTATCACTTTCATAACGTTGTTTTCTTGTAGGCATAAACAGGTAGGCCCAAGTTAAACACTGTTGTTAAATCATTATTTCAGCCATCATAGAAGATTACTGGTGACACAAGTGGATGAAAATGTGTCCATCCGAGTAAAAATGTACTTATCTTGAGGGACTTAACTGCTGATGGGACAGACAATTGTAACCCATTAAAAGTGTTGTTACTTGAACAATATTTCTGAATTAAAACATTGGTCTGGGTGACCCATAAGCCAATGGAATAAAAACACAATGTTTTTTTTAAATGGAGAGCCGACATATGCCCCTTAATGTGTTAATTGGCTACAACGTAACATGCGCTGCATTGGACCGTATTTTCTTAGGTTTGAGAATACGAGTGAATAAAAATCGATGAGAAGAAGCAAGTGTCCCATCACTAAAATAGGCGGTCGCTACATTGACGGATGCAACGCGAGTCATCCACGCCAATACCAACACGGCTTGGATTATAAGCTCCGTGTAACGTGCCGCTTGTGTTGGAAGCCCGCACGCTGACAATCCCGTGCTGTGATCGGCTCCCGGGATTGGCCGTGTACCACGCAAGCGTTGATTGCTAAAGTGGGTAAGGAACCCAAGCCGAACGCACGCCGGGAGGGTGCCGATGCATTTAAATAACATCGACCATTAAATTTGCGTTTAAATCGCAAAGGAGGGGGACAGCAGGGTTCACTTGAGGAGGGAGAACAGAATTCACTGTGAAGTGTTTCTGTTGCCAGTCTTCTAAAAAAACATTTGCTAATGAGTAATGCGCACCAGTCATTACGTGTTTCTTCAGGTGGTTATTCAGGAGCAGCCAGTTTAAGTACATAATGTGGAGGAGGGGGTTGTTGTTTCTTGGTTTCAGAGTTGTTTGGCATACGTGAGTTTTCATCTCTCGGAAAGCTGTCAGGATTACATGGGTGAGGAATTTCACGCCGTGCGATTCCTACCGATTTAAGATCAAAGTTGGCCATAAGCAAGCGAAATGGACTCAAAAGGAGGCTTGGATTACATGTAGAGTGGGGAAAGAAAAAATGTCAGTACATTTGGGCAGGGTAATTGTTGGCGATACAACCGCACTTCCTGTTGCGTGCCAAATGTATCAGTGATTTGCTAATTGTTCTGTATCCTACAGTATAACGTCATATAGCTGGCCATCACAAATCTGCCCCGATAAATTGACCACCCACACCCAATCCAGTTTTTTGTGCGTGGTTGTATCAATTAATATTCAAGCTCGCGTGGAAATTTATACTAGCGCACAAGAAGGTCGCGGACTCCACATGCCACACCCCTCCACAATAACCATGAGCGGGTGACGTCACTCCACATGCCGCACCCCTCCACAATATCCATGAGCGGGTGACGTCACTCCACATGCCGCACCCCTCCACAATAACCATGAGCGGGTGACGTCACTCCACAATGGGCAACCCCCCCCCCCCTTAAATAATCATGAGCTGAACAATTTTTCTATTGAATATTTAAAATTTACTGCAATATACACCCGTCCTTGGACGGGCAAAAAGCTCGTAACATTTATAATTATTGGCGCCCCGGTGGCGAGATGTTAACTACCTTGCCTGGGTTTGATCCCGACCCTGATGCCTGTTTTATACAGTACAGTAAAACCTTGGATTGCGAGCATAATTCGTTCCGGAAACGTGTTTGTAATCCAAAGCACTCGTATATCAGTTGTGATCACGTGACGCTCGGCAGACAAAGCATATACGTACTACTCGTATTGCAAGACCCTCGCTCGTTTATCAAATTAATATTTATTTAACATTTATGCTCGTCTTGCAAAACACTCACAGACCAATTTACTCGCAATCCAAGGTTTTACTGTATTTCGAATTTGCACGTTCTCCTTGTGGTCATGTGGATTTATCTCCAGGTCCTCTGGTTTTTTCCTCCACATTTAGAAACGTGTTGTTATAAATTTTCACATGATAAGCCACTTTTGTTGAGCTATCATTTGTGGCCACATTGCTTCTGAAAAAGAGATATATAGCTGAGTGGGCCTCACCTGGTAAAATAATAATAGCTAAAAATAGTGTAATCGTAAGATTGACTACGTACAGTGCGAAATAAGTTTAACATACATGCAACATACGTGGCCTTTCACAACTTTAGTCACGATTATATTTTTTGAGTCCTGTGGTTTATGTATCATATGAAATGGCTCCAGGGTTTCTTCAAATCGGTCATGCACCACATACAGGATTACAAATTCTAAATACAGTAAAACCTTGGGTTGCGAGCATAATTCGTTCCGGAAACGTGTTTGTAATCCACAGCACTCGTATATCAAAGCACTCGTATATCAGTTGTGATCACGTGACGCTCGGCAGACAAAGCGCATACGTACTACTCGTATTGCAAGACCTCGCTCGTTTATCAAATTAATATTAATTTAAATTTTTTGCTCGTCTTGCAAAACACTCGCAGACCAAGTTACTCGCAATCCAAGGTTTTGCTGTAATCGATTCTCATACACAAAATCCGTTGAGGGTATCACGCGTGTAAGAATCAATGCAAGTCAATGAAGTGTTTCATAAGTAAATGCGTGAACAAAAAAACTTGTGCCTCACGATGTTAATTGCGAACGACCTTTAAACCCCCCCTCCAAACTCACAATTTCCGAGACGAGAGCTGATGATATGTTTGGCAGTGTTTGCGTATCTTAGAGAAAATGTTGTTGCCAGTTGTTGGGTGACAGTTGTAAACAGGTGTTTTAAAAAGCAGTGTTCCCCATAGACAGCTGTTGACTTTCTCTCCCTTTGTGTTTCTTTCGCAGTCCCGAAGCGTGGACAGACAGCACGCCGTGGTCAACTACGACCCCGCCACTGACGAACACAAAGTCATGGACCTGGGCAGCCTCAATGGGGTAAAGGAGTGATCCCTGATAATTACAGTCAGTGATCAAGTCAATTGACTGACTTGTGGTCTGCCAACTGTGTCATTCCCTTTGTTCTACTGCTGAGGCTGTCCATTAGCCCCACCATAGAAATGCAAAGCGAGTTTGTTTGCTGAGTCATTGAGGCCTCTTACCCTGACTGCTATCCTGAGGGACTTGTCAAGTTTCGTATGGAATCGGCTTTCCATAGTCACGGTGCATAGAGCCAGTCTCTTTTTGGAAAGCCCTTTGTGGAAGGGGAAAAAGCCTGATATTTATAGAGCTCTCATTTTCTTATTCACAGACAAATACCCCCCATAAAGCTTTAAAGATTGTTGGGGAATGTGCAGTTAGGAAGCATCTATTAGGTCCGAGACAAAGCACACGAGGGTGAGACAGTCAGCACCACACCTGCCCACCTATTAAACCCAGTTGCTGATGTTCCAGTATCACACCGGCTGGGTTAACCTAGGGGAGGCCCAGGGAAAGTTATAATGCCCACAACCAATGATGCGCGCTGTGACTGGCAATCGGACACGAATATTTAGGTTCATAACGTGGTATGCGAACCAATTGCACTGTCACCATTGGAAACCTCATTTGCCAGTAACAAAATATGATAATTGTTTTTTTACCCTTTTATCTGGCAACAAAACTGACACCTTTTTTACAAGGAGTCATGTTTACATTGACCACAATACCTGCGGTCGGACGCAAACAAAAAACAACTGATAATGTATGCACTGTCCTTGAGACGAGGCTCTAAAGAAAGCTGTCTCGGGTGTGGACCAATCAATTTCAAGGACAGTGCATACATTATCAGAGTTTTTGTTTTTTGTTTGCGTTCCGACCCCAGGTATTGTGGTCAATGTAAACATGACTCCTTGTAAAAAAGGTGTCAGTTTTGTTGCCAGATAAAAGGGTAAAAAAACAATAATCAATTGCACTGTCGGTCCATACCCACAAACACTTGAACAAAATCAAAGATGGAAGACTTCCCCATAGAGCATTGTATAATATTTGCCCAAGTGTTGTTAGCGAACGCTTATTAAGGTCAGCACAGTGTGTGAAGGGGGGTTGGTTGTCGTGAGCACCACACCCAACCACCTTTGTCACCCTAATGCTGATGTTTGTTTCTACACCACACCAGGTACCCATGAAAGATCTATGGGAGGCCATGTTCTAATGTCACTTGTCACGAATGTTCGTCATAGCTGCCATTTGAACTTTACCTTGATGGGTTCATATGACAGTGCACTTACCACTGCAAACCGCTGCTCCCTACAAAGTTAAGGCCATACAGACTGTAAGAGAAAGCTTTGTTGGCAAGTGCCTATTAAGGCTGGCATAAGGGGGTGGTGTCAGCTGCACCACCCCCGGCTGCCTTTGTCTCCCCATTGCTGATGGTTACAAACCACACCAGGGTACTCGTTTAAGGCCAAGTCGACTTAGGGGAGACCCATGGCCATTTATGATATCACTTGCCACTGCTGTTAGAGAATGCACACAAATGCACAAAGTCCCTTAATACTCGCAATAGCTCATAGGGCAGTGTTGTGGCCTGGACAACACAACATGCACAGCTGGCTCTTTCTCCCAAGTGGTGGTGATATGTACGTGTGTGTGTGTGCTAGAGGTCATAGTCATGCACCAGACGGCACAAACACGCAACATGAAAGGTTTTGAAGCACTGTGGGGATACGTAGGCTTGGAGAATGCAAAGGCATCCTTTAAATGAGACCAGCTTATAGGAAATGCTGTAGGCGGAATGCCATGTTATACATATTTTTCCAAGATGTGTACGTAGTTCTTTGTTGCACTTATTTTTAAGGTGGTGATTATTATTAAATGGTCATCATGTACCAAATGTGTGCAGTCACTGTTAGGTTGGTGTTGTTGCTGTGTTGTATTGAACACGAGTCATTAATTTGTATTCATACGTCTCCAAGTTGTGTAATATTTCTGATATGCTCATGCATACCAATTAAACTAGATTGGGATGTTTTAATGCATGCTTGCATGACATTCCTCTCGACTTTTTCGACAGTGGTTTCTGATACTATGTACTAAGAAGTAATTTGTACGAGTGCCCAGTGGGTTGCTCTACCTGAACATTATCTGCATGGCAGAATGGCAGCCAAACCATCAAACTTGACACATTGCAGCTGGGTAAATATTTGGTGTCGTAATTAATCATAGATGACCCTGCATGCTACTCGTAGATGTCATTTCAAGGTTTTGGCTTTCCACCCTATTCCAGTGCTCTGTATACTGTGATCCGTTTCGTTCGCAGTGGAATGCCACTCACGTTGAGGCTCCCTTTACGGACTGACTTGGTTTGCTGCCCTTGCAGACGTTTGTGAACGAGAGCAGGATCCCGGAGCACACTTACCTCATTCTAAAGTTGAACGACACCATCAGGTTTGGCTACGATATCCTTTTTTGTAAAATTGCGTCTTTGTCAAATAGTCTTTATTTGCAGCACGTTGCGAGATGTTAACTACCTTGCCTGGTATACAGCAGGTTGCGGGTTCGATCCCGACCCGAACGCCTGTATGTTGGGAGTTTGCGTGACCCTCTCCCCATCGTCGTTTGGATCTTTCTCCGGGTCCCTCCGGCTTTTACCTCCGCATTGAGAAACATGCGCTTAGAGTATTTGGCTGCTATAGATGTCTACATGATAACCACTTCATTCAGCTATCATTTGTGGCCAGATTTTGATCTGAAAAAGAGCTGAAAAGCCCAGTGGGCCTTACCTAGTCAAATGAAAGTAGTTTAGTTTCAGTTTAACCGTTCTATGCAAATCATCAGTATAATATACCGAAATGTGAATAGCTATTGTGGTTGGTGGGCTAGTTGACTTTCATGTAAGTAATTCCCAGCATTCCATTGTCGCGGCAGTGCATGTCAGATGTTCATGGCTTTTTGAATTTATAGTAAGAATTTGGCTTTGCTGGCAGATTGGAAGGCTTGCATTGGGAGGCATTATGGAATAATTGCCCGTCTGTGTTGTTTAGTTACCATGAAGGTGACATTGAAATAGTACATGCAATCTGGACGAACATGAGAATAATCCATTTTATTGGGTGTCCCTAACTGGGGAAACTTTCATGGCAGTGAATATCAGAAATATGTTTTTTTTATCTGCAAGCTGTGTGGGCTTTATGGCCCAGTTGCATTCAAACAGCCTGCCAATGGCTCGTTATTAATACTTCTGTAATGTCTCAAAAGAGAGATGCTGTCAATCCAGTGTGAAGCATATAAAACTAGCCCACCGATCCTGAATGACATGCAACAATTTCTGAAACAGCTTAGATACCAGAAGACTTGTATACACCTGGCTGGGTTAAATTTATGGCAGGCTTGTGGTCCAACCACAAAACTGGGCCAGCGTATCCCACGGTTGCCAAAAGTGTTCGTCAAAACTTGTTCGATGGAACACTTTTCAGTGGGTGCATAAATGGTGTTGTGGCATTGCTATGGTAAGGGTAAGGTTAAGATGGGTCACTATTGTCCACATGTCTTGAAAAAAAAAACACTTGTTTTAACCTCCAATCCTCAAATTGCAATGGTAATCCCGCTTTCCACACCAGCCGCTCATCTACATTAATATGCAAATTAAAGAATGCACTCGCGATTGGCATACAAATTGGGAGTATGGTTCTCAAACAATGTAGAGCATGCCGATGTTTCCATTGTTAGAAACCGAAGATGCTGGGCTGTGCCACTTCCCACATAAGGTGGAATTTTGCAGATGCTTTGCTCCAATATCGCGTCATGATATTTTGGGTGTGTCATAGGTGTACAGTACATAAGTATTGACATATTAGCTGTAGGCTGTGCCCAACCCCACACAACAATTCTGCCACATTTATGAGTTTAAGACGGTTCCCTTAACAGAGGATCACATCCTAATCTGTACACTGTTGAGAAGATTGAACACAAGGTACCAGAGGAAGCTTTGAAGGTGAGACCTCACACCTGCTTTTTGTATGACATTGTTTAATAGAAATGCACTGCATGGTAACATTGGGTAATAAGAGAACATCTGTTTTTACGACAGCTTTTGGAAAACGGACTGTATTTAATTTGTTGCCGAAGTCACTCTGTATTCCAGTTGTGCTGTTAAAGTATACACAAACTCGAGCTCATGGTCACTGATGTAAAAAAAAAGTTGGTATAATGTTTCAAGAACAACAAGAGATAACTACTTACGCTTGTGGATATTTTATTTATTAAATCTGGTTAATTGCCTTGATTCGCAAGGCGACATTTTCGTCAGCGGAAACACCAAACGATATTTGAAGGCGCAATACGTGTACAAAAATCACGTTGACACGATGGTGGCGATGTTGATCGCGATGAGGTGTAAAATCTCATCCGTTGTCAGAAAGGTGTGCCGCATGTGTCATTCCCGTGTGATCCTGCACGCACGTTTCAGCACGAGAAGTACTCCATTCAGCTGCAGCTGGGAGCGCAGCCAGCTGAGACGAGGTTGGCAGACACGTCAGCCGTCGTCTCTGAGCCATGCAAGCCTCACACCCAGTACCAGGCCGTCGTGAAGACCCACGCGCCGCCGGACGATAAGGCGTCTGCAGGTCCGTTCCACTGTTCCTCTAATCCGTACCCCTGTGGCGCCACTATTATTCTTGACCGCGGCCGTGGTGACCAAAGTAAGGGGGGGTGAGCGTGGCGTGTGATGTCACTTCTCTGTCAAGAGGGTGACGAACGTGCGGGCGGGCAGTAATAGTAACAGCCTGCAATGAGATATACAGTGCGCTCGTCAGGAATAGATGGTGGACGTGTGTGTAATATCTGGCAGTACATTTATCCGAAGTCAGAACGGTCATCTTCCACAGTTTAGCGTTTGTGTAGGATGTGTGTGTTCAGTGTTTCAAAAATACTTATTTTTTGTGGCAGTCATGTGTGCTTTTGCCAATGGTGTTTTCATCGTGTGCGCACAATGGATGCTTGAACAACCAAACCAGTTCCGTGCTTGGCACTATGTGCAGCACATTGATTAGATTTAAACTGTTCATTTATTCAATTTGAATGTTGCACTGAGCCAACGTAAACATTGCGTTGATCAAGTACACTCTCTACTGTACCTTCATTGTCCACGTAAGTGTGTGTGTGTATATATAGCACAATTACCATGCAGTCTGTTTCATCCGTATGGACCAGCAGCAGCTTTATAAACGATGGCCGTGCTCCCCTGATGGGACATGACATGGCAGTGTGGGGGGTCGGCAGATGGTCGCATATGAAAAATATTCAGGGTTTGTTTGCCGATTTAAATAATTGAATTGAGAGGCTCACTGCTGAGAAACGGATGCACGCTTCGTGTTAAGACTGCAGTGCAGTATTGTACGGCAGAGTCAGGAGAAAGGGTGGGTCGTGGATGGCGCATGAAAGGAAAGTGCCTGGGAGTCTAGACTGGTTAATTGCAAGAAAATGACGTTGCATTGCGAAACAATTGAATGCTGCTCATCTCCGCAAATACTATGTTTCCAACTATACTTTTATGGAACGTACAGTGCGCTGTTTGTATGCGCAGTACATATTTCAACACGCAGCGCTTTCCCGAAATCGCGCCGCGTCCACCGTGGTTGTCAACTGGACGGTGCATTTATCAATCGTGCGGTGTGAGCAAACGCTTTCGCCCACGTAGCCAGATAGCGAGCTTCGGTTCTTTTACGCGCAGCGCCTCTTTGACCGTGGACCTAAGAGGGTCGTGCAGCTGCATGTGTTTTGAGGTGTTGTGTTGCCAGACTCTAGGGGAATTAAGCCCTGCTCTTATGCAACATCCCACTGCAATGGGATGGATTGTGGGTGTGTTTGGCAGGACAGCAATGTTCATTGTGTTTCAGTGCGAAAAAACATTGCATCTCTGTTCTCTCCGGTTCTTTCGGTAAAGTCACGTAGGTGACTGGTTCTTTCGGTAAAGTCACGTAGGTATAAAATAACTATTTTCTACCTACGTGACTCTACCGAAAGAGCCAGAGAGTACGGATTCCTGCAGTCACGAAAGCTTCAAATTTAGATTGAATGCATCTCTGTTCTTGTCGATTCGTACCTTGGCTGTGCATCCTTGGCTCTTCCAACGTGAGTTTTTGAAGCTTGGTTAATGAGAAAAAAAAATACTTTCAAACTATGGTTAGGCACTCAGGTATAGCTCTGGTGACCCCCATGCGAGTGACACCTTGGTGATGTCTGGAGTGCAAATAATATCTGCACTTGTCCATACATTTGAGGCATTTCTTTCTGAATAACAAACCTTCAAACTCGATGTCAGACAGCCTGGGACACACGGCCTCGGTATGTATATACAAGACAAGAAGAGCCCTTTGTGTTTGTAATGTCTGAAAGAGCTTGCTTGAATGCTCTGTAATGTTAAAGATACAATGAGCTGCTTTGTTGCCCAAAAACTAGTCCTAGTGGATCGGATTCATTCCACTGTTTGCCAATCGTTGGCTATGTGTATACACACGAATGATTTGGCATCTTTACATTTTTGTCTGCCGTCTGATTGCATGTGAATCACAATTGATTGTGAAAAAATTATACCTTACCGTAACCCTAGCATGCACCATTATCCTTAATCACTTTCGGTATTGTTTAAACTCAAAGCAGACTTGCTGAACCTACAGTATATGTATAAGTACCATTCTTTATTTTTTCACACTCAAAGTATATGGGCATTTGATTAAATTCACGAATACAATTGGCTGAGCTGCACAGTTATCTTTGTCTGATCGCAAAAATCCGGTCCCTAATGCAAAGCCACTGATCATGTTATTGAACTATCCGTACGTGAACAATGTTACAGGTAGGAACAACAGGTTCCACACTGCCCACCAGGGATTAATTTCCAACACGGATCGCACGAATGCGTTGTCCAACCAAGTTCCTACCTGCCCACTTCCGAAGGAATGTGTTTGTGCATGGAAGTTGGTATTTTAATATGGCGATTGAACCTTTTTTAAACATGACTTTTTTGTTTTGTTTGTGAGTTGTAAGCCGGTAATGCATCTCACAGCAAGCATCGAGTACTACGCTGCTGCAAATAATGTCACACATGGTCAGACATACCAACTGAGTTAATTTGAAAATACCTCCATTTTAATGAATATTAAAGGTGAATAATTAACAGACTTTCTGCTTTGAATGTATAATGCAGCAAAGGCAGCGCTCCTTGGATGCCCCCCTGTTGGTTATGCCTGTTGTGTACCTTTGTCACGTATAATACATGCATACTTAAACACTTGGCAACTGTTATCCGTGAGCATTAAGGCCAAAGTGTATTGAAAGGATGTGTGTGTACAACCGTATGGGAGCAGTAGTGTAGCGGTTAGCGCGCTGCGCTACGAACCCGGCCACCTGGGTTCGATTCCCGCTCACGGCCAACACCAGTGACGATTAACTGAACCGGTCCTGGGCCTCCCCTGGTCGACTGGGCCTCAAATGAGTACCTGGTGCAGTGTGTAAACATTGCCACTAGGGAGACAAAGACGGCCGGACATGGTGTTGGCCCACCCACCCCCTCGTGTGCCATGCTGGCATGCCGGCCTTCATGTGGTGCTCGCTAACAGCACTTGCCCCTAGAGTCTGTTAAGGTTATACGGTGGGGAGGGGAGGGTCTTCGTCTTCTACAACCACAAAGTTCTGTTTGCCCATTTCAGCTGTAAGTTGACCAGGATTGTAAAGGTCATTTTGTTTGACCAAAGTCTTTGAGGAGTGTTTTGGCAACTGCGTACATAACTTTGCGAGTTTCGAGGCAGTCTAGCCCGGCTGTAATGTCGCACACATTGGACCTGGACTTGTAAACCCATTTGAAAGCTGATTGTAGGGTCTCTGATGCGTGTTTCGGTGATGGGCACGGGTGCGTTGCGTGCCGGCTTGTTTTACAGTGCAGTGAAAAGTCCTCGTGATGTTTTAACGCCTACCATTAATTCCTAAGACACATTTGGTCCTAAACACCAGGGTGTCAGGACTGAGAAGAAGCTGTGCCTTTGATTGATGTGAACATACTTCAAAGCACTGACAGGTGTGATTGGGCGCTCAGTATTTTTACTGCTTACTCTAACATTACGATACTTTTTTTTTTAATACGTAAATCTGGGAATGTTTTGTGCCCAAAAAAATAGCACAGTGCTCTTAATTAAAATTTGAATCGACCACACCACTGCAGTTCTGCTGGTTGTGCACATTTTTCCCAGCTGTCATCTTCTTACATCAGACACATATACACACAGAGGAGGTCAAGCTAAGACTATGTAACAGTGAAAATAGGTGTATCCCCTTTTATCTGGCAACAAAACAGGTGTTAAGTTATTAAAACAGGGGAAAAACCTTTTCTCATATTTTGGTACTGGCAAAGGAGGTCCCATGATGTAGACTATGTAACAGTGTTGCCCTGGCCAGCATTCATAAATCATTGTAATCACAAATTATTTTCACACTTATTTTAAAATGAATTACACAGAGTATAATACCACATTGGAGATGGAGCTATGAGATTAGCTCATGTACAAGTGCAAGATGGATTGTTGCATCGCACAATTTGTAAGAGACGGAAATTGTTAAGAGATAGGGAAGTTTTCATCTAGCAGTGGATTGTTAATTACAGAAGATTATGATGATGAGTATAATATGAAATGTATTTTGTGTAAAAAAATGATTAGTTTTTGGCTCCTTTATAAACTCACTAGCTGTACTACCCGGCTTCGCCCAGGACTTTGATTCACCACGGGCGGCCGCCTTTGTCTCCCCAGTGGCGATGTTGACACACCACACCAGTTACTCGTTTGAGGCTGAGTCGACCTAGGGGAGGGCCAGGACCGCTTAAAATTATCGTCACCGGTGGTGGCCGTGAGCGGGAATCGAACTGGGGTCGCCGAGTTCGTAGCGCAGCGCGCTAACCACTACACTACAATGCGTTACGCTTCCACATGCGCGGGTCACGTGACAGATTTGACGTCACAGCTCACTTGCCGTGCAAAAAATAAATGCATTATTGAGCTCCCCCCCCTAAAAAAAAGTGTTTTTATAATTGTTGCATGGTGTACAGTCTGGAAAGTATCCACATGGCAAATTTCAAGTTTGTTGCATGTCGGGAAGTACGCTAAACATTTTGAACACACACACACATTCACAACTTTGCCTTTTATATATATGGAGATATATTGCAAGAGCACATGTAGGAGACTTGGATGCAACATATGAAATATGGCATAAGGAAGGAAGAGATGATGAGGGGAGGTGGCACCATTGGTTGTAATGACCTTTATATTGAAAAGGGAGAAGGCCTTGCGCAATTTTCAATAGAATTTCAAGTCTTGACAAATATTTAATTTTCGTGTCTTGTTAATGGAGTTTCACTGAGCTTTCATGTTCCACGGGCGCCGGAATGCCTTTTTCCGCCGGACGCAGCGGCCGTGAACGTCGTCGAACTTCTGGGTGACACCGATTTAATGCGCCCGCGCCGTGCCTCCCAGCAGACCCACCGAACACCCCCCCTCTGCACAAGACCCCGCTCTACGGCCAGCCATCCTGGTGGAGTCAGAACGAGGGACAGGGGTTAGCCCACGAGGAAGGGGACCATTCCCTCGCGAGGCCCGACCACGGTCACACGGAGCCAGCGCTCGCCCTCCAGCCCAGCGACAGCTTTGCAGGTTGGATGGCCCCGATGTAACCCTCTTCATAGGGTGCCACGGTGGCGAGATGCTAACTACTTTGCCTGGTAGACAGAAGGTCGTGGGTTCGATCCCGACCTGTATATTTGGAGTTTGCATGGCCACTCTCCCCGTGGTAGCGTGGGTTGTTTAATAGTTGCAGAGCCCCCCAAGGTCCTACAGATTGTTCGCGGAGCACGTTTGGTTGTGCCCCATTGGCATCGGTGTCGGGGTAATTTCGTGATAGAGGTGCAGAACTGAATTGCGATATGATGGAAAGTTGCCGTGACATACATGGGTTTTTAAATTGAGAAGAAATTCCAATTTTTATTAGCTGGCTGCATGAAAGGTGAAGGGGCAATTCCTGCCAATTGATTGCTTACGCCAGTGATTCTCAACTGGGGTACGCGGACCCCTGGAGGTACGTGGCAATGTCTCATGGGGGGTACATGAAGTGAATTAAAAATGTGTGAAATTATATTATACATGAGTCATTGGTGACTTATCACGTATGAATCTTCCAATATAAAACTACAATACAATGGTAATCCATATGGTAAGCTAGAATAATATAAAATAACTTTCTAAACGCATTGATCGGAAGTCGTTTCCGAGGGTAACCAGCGAGCGCGAAAAAATTACGTCATTCATGCGGATGCAGAGCGTCCGGTGAATATATATTTTGTATTCATTTGCAGTTACTAGTTAGTTAGGATACCTCACAAAATGTACAATTGGTAAAAAATACTATGCTCATTCATACATTTATTTCTTAGAACCGTGTTGGGTGAGGCAAGTTGGGGTAACTCGGTTGAATCAAGAATCAACGAGGTACACAGTCGCCAAAAAATGTTGAGAACCACTGGCTCACGCCACTGGTGGAGGAAAGGGCCTTCAGTAAACGGGGCTTGAGAGGGATCTCCCTACTGGGGTTGCCTTGGCCTATTTTACGCTGGCCAGACTTGTTGTAAGAGGTACCCACACTTGATCCCACCACAGTCAGATTGCTGATTGACTAACATAATTTACCCATTTATATTGCAGGGGAATTTAATAATAAACGTGCACCATTGTTCCGACTACTCTGCCAGCACGTTCTACTCTGCATGTACATATTGGTTGAGTTTATTTCAGAATGTTAATTGAACTTGCAAGTAAAGGAGTGAATTGAATGCCTTATTACAAATGTATTTGAACAGTGTTCAAATTAGCAACATTTGCTATGGTCAGTGCTAGGTTTTGTATAATTCTTGGTTTAATTTGAGGTTATTTTCCAAGAATATGAGCTGCATTACAGATTTTAGAATATTAATAAGCATACCTTTTTTTAAAAATCGGTTTGCATAAACGTATAACTTTACAAACATAAGATTTTAGGTTCTAATCACAGCCAGTGTTGACTCAGCCCAGCATCCCTCTGGAATAACAACAATGAGTGGCTTTTAGTGAGTACCATTTTCTTGTAAGTGAAGTATCAGAGACGCACTTCTCTTGCCATAGGAATATTTAATTTACACCCCTAGATCAGTACTGCCAATGACAATTAACTTGGCACTTACACATCCTGAGAAATTATTTAGCCCTTCAATAAATATACCAATTAAATATACCAAGGTTTTATATGTAATCACATTTATCCTTGAACAGTGCTTGTTTGACAGATCAATGAATGGATTTTGAGAGGGATTGCACTCAGATGATTCACCTCCAAGCTATTCTGCAATTGACCTGGAATTGGTATCCAAAGCAAACCTTTTGACTGGGCTTTGCTGTGCAGGTGGGTGTACCTGACGGACAGCATTCCCGGCAGTGTCATGATTACGTGGTGGCTGAGAAAGGGTAGCGCAATCTCGCAAAACCTGTTTGCACCTCCCTTCTGCTGCAGAATCGCTGAACACATATTCTACAGGGTGGACCAGATGTCTTTCGACCCCCAATTAACATGTGTTTTTTTCTTTTGCATATTCATTTCTATTTTTTAATAAACCCTTTAAGAAATATTAACTTCAGAGTTAATTGAGGGATCACAAGACATCTGGACCACCCTGTACATATAGTTTACCTTTTCGCAGCATCGGGCCCCCAGTGCATCAATGCTTCCTGCTTTAGATTCGTGGTTCCGAAACAGCAGCTTTTTGCTTCCGTCCCAAGACAGTCGAAACCTTGAGCAAGTTCCTTCATTACCACTGCCTGGCCAGCGGTAATGTAGAGCGGTAGGTACACTACCTTTAGCTAATGAGCAGGCTGCTAGTATAGTGATAAAGTGTTTCCATAATCACAGGAAGTTTAAGAGACAAAAACTGTGTTTTTCCCATCTTTATAGATGGGGAATCATACTACCATTTATGTTGAGTTGTTAGCATTGCATTATACCTTTTCCTTGTGACTGATTGTGTAGCCTGTTATCCATTTGATTGCTTTGAATGTATGTATGTGGAACTTCTTTCACACCTTACATAGCCAACCGTGATAATTGGAGGTAAAAAAAAATTATTTGCAGTACTTAATACCTGTCAACCCATACAGTTTAGCCGTATTATTGTACAGGGAAATTGAGTTTTCAGGCCCATATGGCGTACAGCCGTGTTAATACGGGCAACATTTTTTTGGTCTTTGTGTTTCTCCCTTGTGATGGGACTTTGTAGGGTGAATGTGCTCTTAGGGCACGGCGTCACCAATAAGATCTGATTTGGTCTGTAATAAGGTAGGCACTGATAAGGGGTTGACAGGTATGGTACTTTAGTGGGTACTTTAAGATGTAAAATAACAAGGATGATAACTGAAGTCGTAGGCTTTTGCGACCAATATCCACAAGTTTTTTTTGGGGTTAGAACTAGTAAGGGTTGTCACGTTTGGTTGTCACAATTGTAAATGTTGTGGCTTGGCTCTGCAACACACCGGTGTGCTGTACTAGTGACGAAGTGGCACGTTCTGTTTTACGTGACAACCCTTACTAGTTGGCTGTGTCGGGTGGTGGCGGGTTTTAACGACAAATTTATATATTTATGCAATCTAACCCCCAAAAAAACCTCTTGTGGATGATGATAATTGCATGAAACTTAGCACAAATGAAACTGCCCCATGTATTCTGACCACTTGCTTCCTTCATTATTGTTTACTTGTACACTCTGTTGTTAGTAACATCACAGTTACCGGTTAAGGCCAGCCACTGCTCTATAGCTGCTTAGTCTCACACAGCTCTCTATAAATAAGTTCCTTGTTAATATTTAAGAAAAATAACTTTGCATTTTGCACTTGTGTTGAAATGCTACGTAAAGTTTATTAATTGTCTAAGCAAAAAAATGGCAATTGCAACGAGTGTGACGGTCATTTATTAACCACCTAAATCTGTTAAGAAATTAAATTACAACTGAAAATGACATCGTTAAGCTCAGACGCACATACTAGGCTGAACACACACTGTAAGGGAACAATGGCATCCTTTTTGAAATGGTCAGAAATTAAGTACCTTAATACACAAAAGGCTGTTTTTTTTAAATTAAGCATTTACTTTTGATGACGCTCAATCACTCAAAGCTTCTATACCTCAGTGGTTTAGTTTCCCTCGGATAGCAGTTTGTCAATCTACTGCTGGATTAAAGGTCTCCTCGCACCGTGCGTGCCGTGGGGATTATTAACTTGTACTTCTCCATTCTGGTCAACAGTGTGGGTTGGCATCGAATTATAGGACAACAGTGGATTTAGTTGCACTACCTTCTACTGATAAACTAAGACTGCCCACCACGTAAGTCCGCAGCCTATAACACCTGTTACGCACCGTGTTCACCCATCGAAGTTCTCTTCAGGATAAAACCTGCTTAGCTTCTGAGATCAGTTTTCCATGAGCCTTAATCATGTTGGCTCTAGTGCAATTGACTTTGTTGGTGCTGGCTGTCTGGACCTTTTTGCTTTAGAATTTTGAATGAGATCTCAATGTGGATTAATATGGGGCATGCCACATTAATCCACCCCTTCCCTCTCTCCGATGTATCGACTCCCTCACGTGGCTCCTCCATCAGCTCACCCCAACTTATTTGATCACTTCCTTCCCTCGTATTATCCCCCACTGTACTTTCTATTGCCACGCTTGTGACAGTCAGGTGTGGTGGCAGCAGCTGCATTTACGATGATGACTCTCTTGACCTTTTGAACCACAGCGAACTTTCAAAGGAGGAATTTAAGTAATCAATCCATCATGCATCGACTGTACCGATCTTCTGGCTAACTAATCTGGACATAGATGTATGCTTTTCTATTCATGCAGTCATATCCAAAAAGAATAAAAATATATATACGCATCTATACGTCCCTTGAGAAGGCATTTCCGGGAAAATTGCTGCACATCTTCATTTGTAGCGGCTTTGTAAAGCCACATGACATGCCCTCTTCACTTTTTTTGAATGCGATATCTTCCTTGCGGCTTGACACAAATGGAAAACAAGCAGTCACCAGGGGTTTGGTCTCAAGTGAGGCAAGAGACCCTCCTTTAGAAGACTCCAGGTGTATGTGCAGCGAAGCCTAAAGAATGGGCAGGTAGGTTCCATTAATCTTTGGGTGGCTCGTGAGCGATGTCGTTGAAGTGTCAAACCTTTTCTCCGTAACAACGGTGGCCGACGATTAAGCCGTGGTGCGAAATGCATTTCGAATAGTAATTTTCATGTATAATTTTTAATGCGATTTGTATGAATTGTGTTTAAAATATACGCCCATGGCCTCTGCAAATTCCATGAATTTTTCCATGATTTTGCGTTGTAATTCTATCTGAGAATATATTCTGTTTGCCTCATTAATGCACCCTAATACAATCTCGGTTGTATTATCGCTTCATTTGTTTTGTCGAATTTGTTCTGCCTGTTCGCTCCATTAGCCTAAATGTGTGACATTGGTACATAATTTAAATGGTGAAGGTGCCGGCCAGGAATTTCTTGCTCACGTCACTGTTGGCAGAAGGGTCTCCAATAAAAGAAGATCTAAAAAGCCCTTCCATAGAGTATTTGGCC